TTGTTGAAAAGAGCGTGAACCTGGCGGGTGGCGGAGGGGGAGTAGGGAGGGAATATTGTATTTGTAGAAGAGAAAAACAAGAGCAGTTCAGGTAGTAGAAGAGTAGAAGATATAAAGAAGAAGAGACCAGGGATTTTAATTGATTGTGCAGGAGGAGGAGGAGGAGGAGGAGGAGAAGGGAGGAGGGATGTTTAGGTATAGGTAGGTTAGGTAGGTAGGGTAGGTAGGAGGTAGTAGTTGGGTTTTGGGGGTGGTGAACGGGCGCTATTGAGGGCTGTGGTGTGGGTTGGTTGATTGGGAATTTTAGTATTTTAGTAGGTTTAGTAAGGAAGCGTGGGCAGATTTTGGGGCGGAATTTATTTATTTTGGAGCCAAAAGGTGAGTAAGTGAGTAAAAAGTGAGTGAGTGTGGTACGGGATTGGTACGGGGATAAGAGGTACAACTAATAGTGAATGCTAAAGTGAGTAGGGCAAAGTTGAGTGGCGGGTGGGTGAGGTAAGCTAGAGAGAATACTTGGGACGAAAGTATTTTTAGTTTAGTTTTTGGTTAGTTATTGTACAAATAGCAGATGGGGGGAGGGAGGAGGGAGGATGGGTATAGTAGAGTTACTTTACGACAAGGTACCTACAAGGCTTATTCTAAGGGGGAAAGGACTTTGGGGCAAGCCACACTGGACTATATGCTGGGCCACAACTGCGCATCTCATCATCATCCCCGTCACATCCATTCCATCCATCTATCTGTACCATCATCACTTTTATCCATTCCCGCCCGATTCCCCCATCCATCCGATCCCATCCCATTGTCAGCCACTATCATTGGGGAAAAAAGGACGAGTTACTGTACCATATAATAGGGCCCGAGAACAATAGTGGACAAACTGTGGGCAGCTGTGGGAAACTACGGCTCTAGTTCAAGGGCAAAGCGGAGAGCAACACGGTTTATTACTATATCTATTACTGACGTGGGGAACAAGCATGGAGCATTCGTAATGCGAGTCACCCCCACCAGCAATACCAGCACCAGCAACAAAGATGGGGCACAGCACGGATTGATTAGTTAGGGCCGTGTAAAGTGGAGGTCCTTTTTTTGCATATTTGGATGCCCCTTTTTGATTAGCGGTCAGAATTCATAAACGGATGATGCTATATTGGTTATTATTTGGTATTTGGTATTTGCTGTGTTGTTAGACTGGTTGCGTTTGTTATCCGCGGGATACGATATACACCGAGGAGCAAGGGAAGGGGGGCAAAGGAGGGGAGCAAATGCCAACGACTGGAATTACTAACTACGGTACAATATAGTTCAGTATCATGGTAGGACGAATAGTTATACGCGTACACTTTACCATACTATAATACACCAGTAAGATGATACTCCAACAGATTACTCACTCAGATACTCCAGTAACAGACTCCCAGTAAGATACCATAGGCCTCAAATATGACTATACGGACCAAAGAGTACATCAATGGATTAAGGGTGATACTCCTCCCGTATGTATTAACAAGTATTAGTGGGGAACCTTGCCCTCCCAAAATCCTTCCCTCCCACTCAGTTAACTGTCCCACTTACACCAACTGTACCACTGATAGCACTTCTACCAATTATTACCATAGTAAAAAAAAAGAGATAGATACTCCGCCCTACAGTACTTTACCATTTCCAATGTTTCAACAACCTGTCTTAGCACCAACGCGCCTCCTACAAGTGTCACGGAGCTCCTTCGGAACACTGGGGAAAATAGTTTAGGATTTTCATTTGTTATTAAAGGACCGTATCTGATGGCCGGAAACAGTAGCTCGCTACCCTCCGTTTGGTCCTGACAATGCCCATCCCGTCTGCGATCTCCCAAACTATGACGATATGACGATCCTCCCCTCGAAACCCCCCTCCTCCCCTTCCGTCTCTCCGCAATCCCGCCATCCACAATATCCGCCCTACCTACCTCCTTTCTTTGTCCGTCTCTCACCGTGTCTCTCCTCCTCCGCTCCCCCTCCCCACCGCCCCTCCTCTCCAAATTGCCCCATGCAGCTCGTATTCCCGCGGCCGGAAGAAACCACCACACCGCACCGACACCTAAGGAGAAAGAAAAAAAAAACACACCAACAAAAACGAAAAACAAGTGTCTAACAATAGCTCAGCGTTCCGACCTAACTACTGCGGCGCGAAGTTCTGATTGTGGGGGCGACCGCCGACACCCCTCCCCCCCTGGTCGCTTTTTGCTTTGCTCTGAATCCGCCCGTTTGACGTTCCCCACGTGCTTGATAGGCTACAGAGTACATTCCCCGTCATCACACATGAGAAGGCGTCGCGACCGCAAGCGTAACCGTCACTTTTTGGCGGTTTTAGCCTGTTAGATCTATATGTTACTCAGATTTCTGAGCCAGTCAGTGGTGGTGAGCTAGTGGTAGGCTCCGAACAATCTAATCCAGTGACCCAGTGATCTGAATGGGCTGAATGGGAACCGCCGGAGGGAGATGTGAGATGTATGTGCGACGGGGTTACTCCATCACACAACCTCCCAACATGCCGCCGAGGCAGGTACACAGATGACCTGTCCCCCACCGCAACCCAGCAAACCAACACCATCCCACCACCACCAAAAACCCGCTGCAGCTGCAGCTGCAACTTTGGCTCTTTTACTCGCATCGCTGGGTGACAAAGGGGAGCGAGGCGAGGGGGGGGCCATCAGATTTGCTCATTGCCGGTTGCTTATTATGGCACGTCGCGCATCATGTACAAGGTCATCTGGGACCCGACATGGGTTCCTTCCATCTATTCTAGAAAAGGTGGCAGCGCCATCCAAGCACGGGCATCAGCGCCAGCGCCAGCGCCAGTGCGCATCGCGGTGCATCGTTGCATCGTCGCTTTCCATTCCACCATTTTCGTGCTGGTGCTTGTGCTTGTGCTTGCAGAAAGTGCTTGCCTCTGCCTGTCTGCCTGCCTGCCCGCCCTCAACTCGGACCCGCCCGCACCAAAGCTGCGCCGTGCGCTCTGCAACAAGCAAGCAAGCAAGCTCACCATACCGCGCGGCGCAAGCCGCGGAATGGAATTGTGAGTTGGGGGCCGGGAAACATTCATGCACTCGCTCGCTGACAGCGAAGGCGCAAGGCGAGTGTACTCGTAACGCAACTGCGGTGCTGTACTGTACAGTTTGCTGATTGCGGACTCGCGATTGGAGGCATCTGTCGTCGCCATATCGCCGGCTGCTATAGGACGTGGTAAGTACCTTGATGCGCAGCTTCTCGTGAGCGAGGAGCTGAGGCAACGGGGGGAATGGCGAGTCCGATTGGATGCCGTGCAGCAACTCTGATACTCTCCCATCGTCACTGGGAGCTTCGTCTGCTCGTGCGGCGGTAAGATAGTCACGGCGATGTGCGACGTTGTCACGTCACCGCCACTTCATCCCTTCTCACCTCCTCCAATGCCACCCGGGTCACGTCTTCTTGGGCACATTTTTTTTGCCGCCGAGGCACAATCCGAATGTGATGTGCGAACATGATTTCCGTGCTTGCTTGTTTGCTTCGTTTCGTATGGGTACCCAGGGACAAGGTTCGCAACGGGCACGAAAAGCCACGTATGGGGTGGTAAGCCAACCAGCGCGACAGAAGCACACGAAGCACAGGCGCCATGGGTTTTACAGGGCGATGTTCTGCACCACACCGCATCCTGACTTGCTTCCTGCACAGGCAACAGGTACCCTGATCGTCGGTCGGTCGGCGGTCCATGTCTACCTTGGCCCTTTCTCTTACCTTGCCTTTTGACTCCTTGCCAGCCAGCTCCTTGTCGGGACATGGGGTCAAGCATCCCCAGTTATCCCGACTTCTTGGTCATGCCCCGCGGTCATGTGCGCCTCACTGACCCAAGTTGCATTGGTTGCATCTTTGCTGACGGGGATTGTTGCGAGTAGTTTTTTTGGTTGCTCGCGCCAGTAGATGAGCTGGTGTCCGATGTATGCGATGATGTGTGTACGACTGTACGAGGGGAGCGTAAGTCTACGGAAATAGCTACGTACCAAAGTATTCAACCCCTCCAACTTCCTTTTCATACCCATAAATACTAAAAAACTCCTAAATGACTGCTTACAGTGCGAATAAACGAACAACTAAAGGGAAAAGCCGAAACCGCAGTTCAGTGGCATTTAGCCCTCATCATCTGTGTCCCCCCCTATGACCCATCACAGCACCAACAGCCAACACCCGCCCAACTGCAACCAACTCACTGTATCACTATCACACAACGCCCGCTGTCCTGAATTTGCGAATAGCGTCTACCATCAACAAGTAATCTCTTCCTCCCGTCCAAACCCTGACTACTCCCGTCTATCCTGACTATCATATCCGTCTTGAGGCTTCCCCTACAGAAACCAGTCCTACCATCCTACCATCCTACCAAGACACAGCATCATCCATCCATCGTACAAAAGTCACACAGCCCGAAAAATAAGGCTGCATTGCCCCTCTCTCCCCCTCTCACCTCGGTGTGCGAGGTTGTTGTTGTGCTGTGCTGCCCCATCGCGCTACCACGTCATAGGCAACCTGTTAGCCTTGTCCCCATCCCCGCCCCCTGTTATCTCCTCTAACTCCTTCTTGAACCATTCTGCGTCATTAACCCCACCTTAACAAAACACGAGGAAACGAGCTTGGTAAACTATTTTCGAAATCCCATGCCGCCCTAACGCTACTATTATTACTATAGTAAGATATAGCAGGATATACATAGGTGTATAGTATAGTAAGGATATAGTAAGATAATAAACCTATGTATACGCACACACACGCACAGGCCTAACAAACACATCCCTCCCCCTCTCTTTCCCCCTTCCCACCAACCCCACATCCACCATCCACCAGCAACCGCGGACGCGCGATCCACGCACCTCCATCGCCGCCCGTTCCCATTGTTGCCTGGGGATCGGCGTTTCAGGTTAAAGATCGCTGTGCTTATCGGCCTCCTCCCCCCCCGCCCCTTTCCAGCAAGCACGGATGGTTTGCTCGCCCACCCCCTCCCTCGGGATGATTTGTCGACTACCTACGGTACTGTAATCCCCCCCCAAACAAAGCGGCGGGATTGCGATTCATCGGTCAGTTCAGCTCCTGCAAATGGGAGCGCGTCATCGTCATCCGGAGAGACACACGACATGGTTCGATTGCGATTACGTCCGATTGCTCATCTGTGGGACATGGAGAAGGGGGAGAGGGGAGGAAAAGGGGGGTGGCCGTCCAAAAATCATCTTTCCTTTCTTTTTGTGGATGCGGTGCTACGACGCACGGCATGATGGGGATGGGGGGGGGCTTGGGAGCCGTTATTTCGAGGTACCCGTACGTACGTGCGTTGAGTGGTGAGTGCTGAGGATTTGAGATGGCGGAGATGGGAGATGGAGATGCACGTAGTCTGATGGGGGCCGTGTGGTGCATATGCACGTCACGGTAGAGTGATTTCGTGCACCGGAGCTGGGTAACACAGACAGGTAGGTTGGCTTCCCTTGGACGTCTGAGCGCGGTCGTCAAACAGACGTTTTCTTTTGCTTAGCTGTGGGGTTATGGGTTATGGGTATATTGATTCTGCGTCCGAGGGCAGAGGGGAGGATAGTAGAGCGGGAGATGTTCGCTATGGTCTCGTTGTGTCGTCTCGGCGTTGGCCTTCGTCTAACCGCCAGCACGGTTTATTCCATAAATACCCTCCGTCTCTTTCCAACAGCGCCGTCTCCGCACCAGTGGCTCCTCCCAAACGATGACGCCAAACGACTCCTAATCCCGTCCCTGCAATCCTTGGCGACGCGTCGGCGCTGATTTGACCACCGCGATCGAGGATCCCACGAGTAGATAGATGGAATACGAGTCATCATCAACAAGGAAAATAGCAAGCAAGACCTTGGAAAGACCTGTTTCTCGGATTTGCAATGCAGCATCTTCACACCCCTCCCCTCTCCCCTCTCCTTTCCAAGCACACAAAGCAGCCATCGAAGCGACTACTTCGGTGCTAGCGCTGGTTCCAGGACGGACCATCCCGCGACATATTTGCAGGTACATTTGTGGCTGCGGTGGATCCCATCTGACCGTCGTTGTTGGTGTTGGGATTATATAGTTGAGTAAGTAAGAGGGAGTAAGTAGGTAATCCTGTATGCGCTGCGCCGTGGCACAGGCATGCGGTGAGACGATACTGCTTATTAGAGTGGCGAGGGGCATCGTAGAGTCGGTAGATCTGTATATTGCAGTCACGCGAGACAGTACGGTTTCTGGGAGCCCATCGAGGAAAGGGAGAGGGGGGACTTGACGACTTGGGAATTCAAGCAACCGACCCGACAACCCGAGACGCAGGTCTACTCGGCATAGTGCGTCCTGCCATCTTCCGTCCCGTTCACGGGCTGCTGTTTGAACTCCCCATTACTTGCCCCCCAAGTACCCATTTCCAAGGCTTACCAAGTATCGCCACGCTCGCTGGTCGAAACAGCACATCAGCTCGTCCGTTCGTTGTCAACTATAGTTATGTAGCTATGCCTCACACCACCCGATCGTCCGCGCCCTCGCTCCTCTTCCGGAAGGTCTCACTGATGCCGTATCGTCATCGACGGGCCGCGATCAAACAGAGTCACGTGTCTTTCAATGCCCAAGCTGTGCTGTGCTGTGCGTGATGCAGTGTGATATTTCGTACATACACATGAGAATGCGAGTGGGAGCGCGGGAGTGGGAATGGCAGTGGGAGTGGGAGTCGGGGAGGGAAGCTTAACAAAAAAAAACGTGCATCGATAACCTACCCCCCTCCCATCCTCCATGTCAACCACCACCCACCTCACCCACGTTGCTTCTTCAACAACCCCGTCCACCTGCAAGCACCACCACGAACCAATGGCGCGGCCCGCACGGCAGTAGACACCCCTCTCCTCTCTTGTAATATCGAGGGCAGTGCGATAGCGATAGCGAGAGCGCCCACGTGCCTGCTGCCCTTCCCAGAGCATGCCGACGCCCGCGGCTGCATGCGCATATGGCTTGCTTCTTGCGTATTTTTGGGGAGGGGGTTCCGGTGGAGTGGTGCGATGGCATGGGATGGGGATGGGATGGGATGGGATCGTGCGTTTGGGGAGACGGGAAGGTTTGTTTTTTGAAGCCATGGTTGAGGGGTGTGTGATGGGCGATTGGGGGTGCGGCTGGAGATGGAGGGTGTCTTATCGCACGCACCTGTCGCGCTGTGCTGGCACTGGGAGGGAGTGGTTATAGGTTGGAGATAGGGAGGGAGTGTGTCGTTACTATTGCGACAGCCTCACGAGGGGAGAGGAAGTGGGAGGAGGAGGGGGAGAAGGGGAAAGGGAAGGGGCATGTGGTGCCTTCTGACTCAATCTGCGGAAGTGAGTGCATACTTTTACATACCTACAGGTCAAGGACCTTTTAACTTACGTCTTCGCAATTCCGCCCATCTGCCCTCCCCCTCCCCTCCTCCATCGAAACCGACGGTGACCCCCACGGAAAAGGTGATATCCCCCAGCGATTTGAGGCAATTAAGACGGCAGCAGGAGCAGGAGCTGAAGCAGCGTCGCGCGCGGCGGAATGAATGCACATCGCTCGCTATTCCCACCTGCATCGCTCGCGCGCTCGTACGACACCTGATGCTCCTCTATCCTGCCCCAGCACCTCCCTGGTTGGACTAGACGGCTCTACTCACTCTACCTGGGCCAAGAAGCTTACGGTACACCTTTACCACTTGCCTCCTGGTCTCCGTGGATGCGGTATAGAGAGAGTACAGTACAACAAATTCCAGTAGCGGCGAACAGCTGCACCTCAGCATTTCAGCAGCATCTACATCCCTCGCTGCATCTCCTAGCCCCGCCTCTTCTTCAGCCAGCAAGGTACCCCAAAACGCAATCAATCGACAATCCACCACCACCTACCTACCGACCCAAAATCCCGCAGACCCTCCCCATTCCCAAGGCAACTCCCGCCCCCATAAGCTGCACAACTAACCAACAAACCCTCTCTCCCATCCCCAAGGCTCGCACAACAGCATCGCGGTGAGCAAAACCCGCTGCCGAGGACCCCACTGCTCAAAGCGGTGAGCGCGCCT